CTTGCTACTTGTTCCAGATCCGCTCTGAGGAAGACTTCCTCCAATCATTGCTGGTACTACTATCCGGACGGGAGAGGGAGATGGATGGGAAACTCTGTTACAGACTCTGTTCATAAAGAAGCATGGTTGTCCCAGTTTCCAAGGGTCCATCTTCCGAGAATCGCTTTCTACTCAGCACTGGTAAGCCTTGTTGGGCAGACATCAACAGACTAAATGCATTTACCGAGTATATCAGTGGGTGTGCTTGGACAATAAAGACTTTGGGCTACCACAGACTCACTGGATTCAGTGCCATGTAGAACCAGAAGAAGTCCAAGTACCAGGGCTACCGGGCTACCCCTTATATAAAGTCATTTTAAGAAAAATATAACACACACACAGGCTAAGGGGATATTTTGCACCTATAGGGGACCCCCCCTGGTATGAGTTACCAAATTGGCAAATTCCCGAACTCCCGCACATCCTCGTGCACGTGTTGACCCTCCCCTCGTCTAGACGGTTTCTACCCTGCAACGGGTGTGCACGGGTGTGCACGGGTGTTGCAGCGAACATCTCTGTGAACACAAAGCTGGAGCCAAAGCGGAATTTCTACGGAGATAGATCTTGCAGGATATTCCACACAAGACCTGTCTGGGAATGGCATATTCATATTGGCCAATCACGTGAGGGGTGGTTGAAGTCGGGGTCAATGTAGGCAGATATTCCAGTCCCATGGAATGTCTGGGTGTTTGGGTATAATAGGATTATCACCTGGCTTTGCTCGTAATGGGTGATGTCTATTTTCCCTCGCCCCCAGTTCCCTGAGCCAATCTAAGGTAAGGATGGGCCTCCAACATGATCAACCACACAGTAACATGTCATTCTTGGGGATGTTGAGGGTGCAATCTCCTCCTTTTAGGAGCATGAGATTGGTGTCGCAGGACATGACCAAGGATGAAGTCTTGGTCTTCCGGCAATTCCACCACGACACCACCGCGACCGGAGCCAAACCACTGCAAACTGTGTTCCACTCGGCCTTCAAGCATCCCAAGGCCGGCCGTTCGCTTGGTGTTCCGTCGCGCCGGTCCGTCCCGTCGTGGAAGTGGTAAGGGCGTGACGTAGCCTGAGTCTCCCAAAAGACTGGGGTCGTTTCACAGCGTGAAACGACCCAAATGATAGGTTGTGTGATGCAAGGGACATCGCAAACAGCTTAGCTCAGTTGCCTTTGTAGCATTCCGCATTCCGCCTAACGAGGAGCATGTTCTACACCTTCGGTCGAAGAGGAGATGCCATCATAGCCATTCAATGGATATCTAACTCCTTCCGCCAGAAGAACTTGGATCGGCCAGAAGTCCGCCGACCGGTCCACCCCGCAGCTCGGGACGTCGCGACCGTCCGACCGAAGCCAAAGGCGCCGCGGATCGGTCGCAGATAGCAACATCGACTGCCCAAAGTCTGGCGGAGGAGGAGTTCCTAGTTCAAAACCATAAGATACGCGCCAACCGGCGCTCAAGTTCACCAAGCCTCCTATTTGACCTATCCAACCGGCCAACCCAACCGGCACGGCGCCTTCGCCACGCCCTTCGCCCAGGCGGCGGGGAGTGAACCACGGTGTAGTTCGGAGTACCGCGTGGGCGTTTGGTGGAAGAGCTAGATCTGCTGGGGCGGTGAAGAACGGCCAGGTGCGGTGGGGAAACCCCCTTCTTCGGGCGCGAAGAAGCTGTGAAAAGGGCGACGGAGGATTGATTTTGGTGCGAAGGAGGATATCAATAAGATGATTCAGATCGAAGAATGCATAAAGACATCATGAGACATTTGAAGAACCATGTGGATTCCATAGGACTGGCAGATGTTTCTCGATTTCTAGACCCCCTCGGGCCCACCACGGTCACCGGGAACGTCGCCTCCGGTCTCCAGACGGGTCAAGGTCTTCGGATGGCCAAACCGTCACCGTGGTCTTTCTTCAAAGGTCTTCAGGGTTCATGTGTTTGTCTTGCACATTAGCAGATTAGACTAGCTGCTTGTTGAATTCACTAGCTGATTAGACTTCCTGCGGCTGAACCATGCCCCTTTTGTTGTTGTTTTCTGCCTCGTTGTCTCTTGTTGTGGGCCTTGACATCAGTGTTCAGATAAATGGTTCCCAACGGAAGCACTGGGACACAGCGAACTAACGCACCGCTAGGTCTTCCAACAAAAAACACTCCTCTTCCTGCCTCGGTCTGACCGTGCGACGGTGGCCGTGGCATATTTTTTGGGGAAACAGAACGTGATTCTTCTAGATCTACCAGGATTCTACCAGAACACGAGTGAAGGAGTCCGTCGAGTCTATGGCTTTTCTGTCCGCTTGGACGACTACGTCACCTGGCCTGTGACATGGCGTGCAGAAGGCCGTTCAGGCGACCAAGCCATGCTTGAGATAGGTTGAAGCATGTTGAAGGCCAAGAGGACGAGAACATGTCGAGGTGGGCCATATTTCTCGGGAGAAAGCCCATCGTAGACGATGGTAGAGCCGATGATCTGAGGAAAGGATCTCTTAACTTCGAACAATGCAGGAAGACCATGGAACACCCTCCAAATTCCCCAACAAAGAGAGCACCCTGCTTCTACCAAGACCACAGTGCTTCAAGGATCGAGTGTGTCCCAAAAAATAGTATTTACCACGGTTTACCCCTCTCTTTATTGTCAGGTGTTAGGTTAGGGGTTGGGGTTAGGGGTTGGGTTCGGGTTAGTTGGGTTAGGGTTAGGGTATCGGTGTCCAAAAAAGAAGGTAGAACATAGCATCATCATACGCCTTACAACCATGTACACATCCCTTACATTCCCTTACAATGTTAACAGTTTAATGCAGTTGCCAAACCTCGAGGTGTGTGACCTCGAAGGTAGGTGTCATTGTCTTCTGTAGAAACAATGATGTTTTTTTTGTTTGAACATTTGTGTTAAGGACGCTCTTCAAATCCCAAGAAAGCTTAAAGCCAATGCCATGACCCTAGAATTCAACCAGCCAAGAGCCATTTTGTTATGTGTATTAATTCTGAATGGTCAGTTCCTCTACTAGAGGGGCTGATTCAACATTTTACATATACATGTAGAAACCAAGAAACTTAAACTTCTACTTCATCTTACAACAGTCAGTTGACAACCTTGTGCTGATGAAAACCATTGCTGATGCTTCACTTGAGGCCCGGGCCCCGCTCCGGAGTGTTGTTTGATCATAGGTTCCACCGCTGCTTTGCAGCACTACCGAAAGCGCTCCGGAACAACAACAAACCCTTTAAAAGAAAGGATTTAGCCAAAAGATGTGTTCTAATCAAAAACCTAGTTTTTTTTCTTAACGGTTTTCGACAGACACCTTTTTTTCCAGTGTTTAGGTTTCCAAAGTAGATATGTTTTGTTCTGAATGGTCAGTTCGAACTTCTCTTTTTTGGAGGGTGTTTAGACTCTTGAAAAAGAAGCTGAACAAGTGCTGAACAAGCTCCGGCGGTCAGTCGAGAGGCGTTCAACAGCTCCGGTGGCGTCCTCTCGGCGATTCAACGTGTCGGGACCCATGTGAGCGGGCAAAAAGACATGCGGCGCAGCCCGCGGCAGTCCTCTGCGCGTTGTCGTTCCCTCATCAGGTGGCAGTGAATTCTCTCACAAGTGGCGGCTGAACAAGAATATCTCAGTGTATTTGTTGTTCTTTATTGCTTGATGAACATGCGTGATAATTGATGACTGTCTTCTTTGGAAGAAAGATGGCCACCGGAATTCTTCTAGTCGAATCATGCTTTGTACTTAAATACATCAGCCAGCTTCTTCCAAGTGACCTTTTTGGAATCCCCAAATGACCTATAACAGGCCTGTTTGTGACCGAACCAACCACGGGATCAAGTTCGGTCACTGACGAAGAACCGGTCACGAGGGTGCTGTCAAAGTGATTCAAAGCACACCGACCTGGTTCAACAAGCACACCACGAGACGAAGATTCAGAGGTCCTGCAGAACAGGCCCACTTTTCTGATCTGGAGAAGGAGTGATTAGGACTTTTCTAGCGTCCTTGTTACTACTAGTAAGGCACTTGTTACTAGAAGCGATGCGCTTGTTCCTAGTAGCTTCTTGTTACTATTAATCTTCAAGATTGTAATTTTCATGCAAAGGTTGGGAGGGTTTGCTCAAGATGTCGCTGGCTTGTTCGGCAACTGCCTGTTTGTAGCGGCAGTAATCTGATGAAAATTCACATGTACAGTAGATTGTTGAAGCTCGGGGAGAGTTGCTAGTGTGTGCGAAGGTACCTCAATCTTTGGCCCAGTAAACACGTTCAAGGGATCTGTCACCCAGAGGGGCCCCTTTGTATAGTTGCAGATCGAATATCTGTCCTTTTCGTGCCCTACCGGGTACGAAAGGACATCTCGGACCTGGCAGTGTTTCATTAAATACTGTATAGATTGAGAGTAGATGGCACAATCCCCAAAAGGTGGTTTATATATGAAGCCCTATATAAAAGACATCTTGGGGTTTGTGCCATCTACTCTCAATCCACTGTAAATAGTCTCAGACGGGTGATCATGGTCCAAACTTTCGCTGAAGTGGTGGACAATGATCACCTGCATCATCTGAGACTCTGAGACCAATTCTGTGAACATCAGTGAGGTCAGAGCTGTCCTGTTGTACTTTTCTGGCACCGCACATTGCTAGCCAGCATCCACCGATATCCGTGGTGGAGGATCTGTGGAGGATCTGGTCAAGAATCAAAAGACAAACAGAAGGCAGTGCCTGAAGATGCGTGAAGTATGCCCGAAAGCGATATAACTGGCCCTCCAGTCAGGCATCAACCATTCCATTCCACTCTTCGGTTCGACCTCAACATCCATCAAAAGCATTCAATAGCATCTTGAGACTTCAGCAGTCAACAGCACGTTTTGCATCAGCTGAACTCTCCTGCTGAACTCTCGGTTTTTCTCCCACTCTGCTTTTCGATCAGCGCTGGAAGCTCCGCTCCCTCCGCCATTGTGCCGCTCCCTCCGCCCATTGCTAGCGGCGTGTGAGGCAATGCCTTTGGTCGCTCTTGGAGTTGGACCAGCCGCACCTGCCGGACGAGACCTTGATCATCTTCACGGTGGCCCGGGTGCCGATGCCGGTGCCAATCGACTTCGGTGGGTTTGGACTTGAGGCGAGGCGTGAAGCACCCTCGTATAATACGACCCTTGCCATTGGGTGTTGTTTTTGGAGAGATGATGGACTGACATTTGTGTTCCGACCCGCAAGCAAGACACAGCTGGTATGTTTATTGAACAGTACTTTGGGTACCTCCTATGTTTGAGCCATTCTCATATACGTTTATTATTGTTGTTGTTTTTTTTAATGTTTTATCATGTAATACATAGGACGAAGCTGCAAGAAGACCAAGAGAACAGCCAGAGGTGGACGATGAAGCCTATTGTTTTGGTATAGTAATGTTTATGCATAGCCTAGGGATCTCATCATAGCTGCATAGGCAGGGGATCTCGGCACAACCTGCGGTGTCGACTGGGCTCTCTCGATTTATGCTCTTCATTTAGGCGGCACTCTCGTTGCAATTCACATGGACTGAATGGGTGTGTATGTTGATTTGAAGAACCGCTGGCCCAATGGGTAGAGGTTGACTGGTGTATTTCCCTTCTTCCTAGGGGGTCTCCCTATTACACGCCTGAATAGTGTCCCAATACGGTGTATGTGACTTTGACCGACCAGAAGAATCAGTAGACCTGCTTCAATGTCTTCTAGCCGAAAGCTCGCCCGGCAACGATTTCGCCCCAAGACGGGACCCACCGTCACCTGGAAATACCCTACTCCCTACGCTACTTATGGATCTACATTGGTCATGGGGCATCCCAAACTGAAGGTCCTGTCCAGGTATTGGACAGTGGGCCATCAGAGGCTCGACGGCACTGGCACCCCAACCGTTCGATGTCCGATCGATAGATGGGGGGGTCCATACAAACCACCCAACATCGGAAACTCTTGTGCCATCGAACCTCTGGACCGTAGTTCTTGATGCCTAGGCCAATACCTTCCGACCTTCTGTCCATTTCTGTCCGTTCTTTCTTTGGTGCGGTCGTCCAGTTTGCGCTCAAAACGGTCCCTGCATGTGACAGATGGTCCAACTCCAAGTGGGTATGGCTCCAAAATGACCATCCAAGCCCACAAGGGACATGTGGGCTCAGGACGGTCATGGCTTTGTTTCTTGATTCATTGATTCGGCAAAGACCAGCACCACGGCATCGTTTGTAGACCTTGTAGAGCCCACTACCACGTCCCACGCCCCACAAGTCCCATCTGTTTGTCATCCTTAGCACTACCCGAACTCATGGGTGGTGCTGGTTTGGAGACGCTACAATCTCCAGACCGGGTGGTGGTTTGGAGACGATTTCTCAACCTTGGCTTGGGATGATTGAACCCACCACCACCTAATGTGAATTGACACCACCAACCAGGACATGGACGAAATCCCCAATGGTGAGCTCATGCTCGCCATGAAGCGCCCCGGATCTTCGAAACCGCGTGTTGTCGAACACACGCGGTTTCGGTGCGTGCCGGGTGTTGGGAGAGGGTGCAGAGCTTGCAAAGCGATTTGAAGAATGGAGGAATGGTTCAGATGACCAGGCTATGCCAAGTGTATATAATCTGTTTATATTATGTTTATACATATATATATATATCTTTTTTAATCTTTCAACGTTTAATCAGCTGTAAAGTGATGCAGGAGACATCCAGAATAAGAAAAACAAAGCATAGTCCCTCCCAGTTGCCCATTGCACATGAAGAATTGTCGTCCCAGTGATGCTCATGATGCAAGGAGTGAGGCTCAGGGATGCTTGAAACGGTGATGTGAAGAACTCATGTAGACTTGTGACTGACGAGCTATCCCTACTTATCCGAGAAGTGGAAACAGGTTAACTATATAGTTTTGGAACTTGAACGGGGCAGGATAGGGCAGGTCTATGTCCATTCCCAGCCGGGTTTTTCTTCAATCTTCGGAGCCAGGCTGGAGGACTTTGGGGGTGGAACTTTAGGAGGTTGTAGAGCCGGGAGTATATGGTGTGCACGTGCATGTGTGTTTTAAATATAATATATATATATGTATATTAACAAAAAGGTCTCCAACCAATGGGCTTTTGGTCTATCCCTTCTTCCAGGGGGTCTTGAAAAAGGGGGTCTCCCTAATTACTGGTAAATTGACCTGCAGCAATGGGACCCTTCACCCATTTTTTGAGCGAGAAAGACCTCGAAGACAAGGCGGGGAGGGTAGCCTTCTGCGCGAAAGAACCGTTGCAATCGCCAAACCCAACCAGTTGTGCGGTCAAAAAGCGACATGCTTTCACCATTTCGGGGGCCTCGTTGGGTCTCACTTGAGGTACTGCGAATGGAAAAACATGCAGAGCAAGTGTCCTGGACGCGCGAAACCAAACGGAGCGACCGTGTCGGCCGGACCGCTATGTTGAGTCGGAAAAAAAAGAGCACCGTCCATGTCCCATGTCACTTGCTTCACAGCTAGGGTCTTGAGTCTTTGGGGAGGCACCTAGACGTGCACGATCTGTTTGCAGGAGCCCATGTTCTTTTAGAATTAGACTTAAACAAGCCCGACTTGGTGACCCGGGCGAGCCAAAGATGAGCTTCAGAAGTTGTAATTGGAGCCCCTGGCAAGTTGAAGCTCCAATTTGATGGATATGATTTGCCTTTACTTGGAGCCTCCAAGTGCCTTCGAAGAGGCTATACTGCCTGCTTTCCCACTGGCACGTCCGTTCGTGACGTTGAATCGAAACGTCCAAGACCTCTTGGGTCTTTCACTGGAGGTCGCCCAGGATGTGAATCTCAGGTGCAAGCTAACAATGTCCTTCCCTTTTCCATGGGACATGGGACGCAACTGGAGTAATCACAGAACCAAAAACCACTTCCAAACCACTTCTTCCACTTTTATATCCGTGATTTTCATGTTGTTGTTTGATTCTTCACTTTGGTTCAAGTTTTGCAATAACCTAGTTTGCCACATCTTCAAGATCAACCCCCCATTGTGGCTTTCCATATCTCCCGCCGCTACATAGGCTTTCCACCGGGTTTGTAGGCCACTGCTGTGCCCAGGTTCCAGTTCTCTCAGCGTGCGCTGTCGTTCAATCTCCGCCAGGAGGGCGGTTCCGCGGCCTCGTGTCAATTGACTCCCTTAGGTTTCATCGCTTCGCAGGGACTCGTTCGGATGGCCTGATGTCAATGTGATGTGTCCGAAGGGCGATTTGGATCGAGAGAAGCCCCACATGCAAGCGCTAGCTTATCATATTTGTTGCCCCATATGCAACCACTTGGTGGTAAAACACTGTTGTTTTTTTAGTGATTATATATATATATGTAGTTATTGGAAGATACTATTATTGATAGACTCAGACATACTCAGACTGCATTTAAACAAATATATATATATATAGTCGCATTGCAAAATTCATTTCTACCAAGGAGGAAGCCATATATATATATATATAGAAACCAAATGCATTGGTTTCCCAGGAGAACAATGGTTCATTGGCCGGGGTGAGCGATGATGATAGATGATGGGCCGAAGAAGTTGCCAGGAACAGAGGTCGTATGTACTAGGATATATATATATGTGTGTCAAACTCCACGCATGTTTTGACTACAACTGACTATAACTGACTGATAAATATAATATATATATACACACACTAACTTTCATATGATATATATATACACACAATTGAGTCTTAAACAAATGGAAAGTTGAACACCAAAAAGCACACCCCCTCAAGCCCCCCCCCCCTCTTTGCAAAGGACGCCTTCCTCCCGTGCCTCGACACGGCCTCGACACGGCGCCTATATACCGCGACCGTTCCAGGTCGCGACCGCTCCGAGGCAGTGCTTCCCAAAGCCACTGGGCGGAGAGGTCCTTCGGCTGCGGAGCCGTGGATCCGCTCGGTTTGGTGGTTAGAGACCCCCTGGTTTGGGCGGTCAGGTGTATTGGCCTGCCCAGCAAAAAAACCATACCCATGCATGGCTGGCCCAGAAAACGATAAGAGTATGAAGAAACGGATCACGAGCTTATACATGCACGTGTTCAGGAAACCATGAAGATTGGAAGATTGCACAGGCCTCCAAAACGATAACAAAACAACATATAAAAAACAAAAAAACATGGGAGCGATTGGAAGGATACCCACATGACAACTTTGAGCATATCACCTGCAAGAAGGACATCGTTTTTGGAAATGGATGCAACATGAAAGGGACATGAAAGGACATGGGTGAAAAATGAAAGGACAAGATGACATCCGTTGACTTTCGAGCAAGGATGCTTTCACACCGACAGAAAGCCAGAAAATGCACTTTGTTGTTTCGTACACAGAGCCCACCGCCCACAGAGCCCACGACAAGAGCAAAAAAGACGATAACATAACTCCGGGACATTGCAATTGATACGGTTTTTTTTTTACACTACCCCACCTGTGGGTTATGATGGTTATGTTTTTGTTCCCTGTGGGTGAATCCCCTGGCATGGTGAGTATGTTTTAGCTTTTTCTCAGTTCCTGGGCAGTGAATCCAAGTCATGAATGGTCCATGAACCTCGCGGGCTTTTCGTGAACCTTGTTGTTGTTGTTGGTGGTGGTGTTGTTGGTGTTGGTGTTGGTGTTGTAGTAGTGGTGGTAGAAGAAGTAGGAGCAGCAGTAGCAGCAGCAGTAGCAGTAGCAGGTGCAGTAGCGTTCAGTGGCAGTAGGAGTAGCAGGAGTAGTAGGAGGAGTAGTAGTAGTAGTAGTAGTAGTAGTAAAGTAGTAGTAAAGTAGTAGTAAAGTAGTAGTAAAGTAGTGGTAGTGGTAGTGGTAGTGGTAGTGGTGGTGGTGGTGGTGGTGGTGGTGGTGGTGGTGGTGGTGGTGGTAGTGGTAGTGGTAGTGGTAGTGGTAGGGGTAGTAGTAGTGGTAGTAGTAGTGGTGATAGTAGTAGTAGTAGTAGTAGTTGTTGTTGTTGTTGTTGTTGCTGTCGTTGCCGCTGTCGTAGTTGTCGTCGTCGCGGTTGCATTTGCAATGGTAGTCATCGTACTCGTTGTCGAATACAATATGTACCCAAAAATGGTTTGTAACCAACCATTCACCCATAAGCACAGAAATTCAACTCTTCTCAACTGACAGATTCCAGTTTTTCAACTGACAACTTCAGTTTTTTCACCTTCTAATTTGACAACTTTGTTGTTCAGCAGATCAGCTACAAATCAATTGGTGATTGTCAGTGATGGTCGCAGAGTCCGCTTCACTGGGGAGCGGTGATCATTTGCGACGTGGACGAAGCCAACTTTGGTTGTTCGGGAGGGTTATGATTCATTGAACGTTTAATGTTGCCAGGTGGGTGGATAGAGTCAGAAACGAGGAACAGACTCAGGGTAGGTGGATGAGCGTGTGACGGATTGAGGGAGGGAAGGAGGGAATGAGTGAGTGATTGTGTGTGTGCTTTTGGGCCTAGGCACAGTTGGAGACAAGGCTCCCTCATCACCTTCAAGTGGGCTCGCGACATGGCAACTTGACGGCCGGAGTCGTGGCCGGAGTGCACTGGAGGACTGTCCACAGGATCGACGGATCTTCTGTTAATTGGGATGGTCATCAACTTTGAATGGACGAATTGTGGGATATAGAGGGATGTTCACACATTCCCTAATCAGCGATTATGAGAGCTCACAGGGAAGATGATGTTAGTCCAAGTTGTTTGGTGTTTCCCTGGATCACACATGGCATCTACCTTCCTCCACAAGCGGTAAACGGTTGACCCATCGTAGCACAAATTGAGTAAAATTTCATAAAATGTCAATTTGGATGAACATGTGTGAAAAGAACGGGATATAGTAGTGAATGTGTGTGTATGTTTTTTTCGCACGATAAAACACATGCATTACTCAAAAATCAGGTCAGTCTACATGTTCAAAAACCCAGAACAACTACGGTTGCTTTGCAGATGGTCTCGGCCGAGCATCTTCATCGCAAGTTCCTCGGCCCAGTTGAAGCGAAACCAAAGCATCCCCCTGCGGCTGCCAGCAAAACTGGGTGGGTGCCTCAGCAACAAAATGACTGGTTTAGTTGCTGTTGTTTTGTTCAGCCATTTTCAAGCTTTGCTTGGATGGTGGTTCGGATTGTTTTTTGTTGGTTCAACCGAGTTCAACCTTTACTCGGCATGGTCGAACCCACATGCGTTCCTCATCATGCTTCCGAGTTCGCCAGCCGTTTCCTGAGACTGAGTCGTTGAGTTCTCTTTCCTCTTCGGGCCCCATGGATGCTGGAAGACGGGTCTTTGACACGGCAGTCGGGCACGAAATGCCTTTGGAAACATGATGAAACAATGTCATTTGGAATGTGAAACGATATATTCCTAGCTTCACTCAGGAACGATTTGGCACACCATATCAATGCGCGCATGTCACAAATTCTTATAATATATAGAGGCCGAAAAGCCTTTGCCATGCAGGTCCGGCGCCGGTCATTCAGGGAGGCGCCCTGCACATGGGATACTTTGGTTCTGCAGCCGCGCTCATGTCGCTTGGCCGCGCTCACGTTCCGTGCTGTTCCATGGTTTGTTTGGCGGGCTGAAAAGCGGGTCCGCGGCTGTTTTGTCTTCCGGAAGGTTTGGGTTGGAAGAGGGAGAGTTGGTCATGTGAAGGAGGAGAAATCCTTGTGGTTGTTCCTCAGACACATGTACTATATACTATAAAGACAAACCAACTTCGCTAGTACCCGTATGCACCAGTCACCCACATGCACCAGTCTGTTCATGACTCACGTCATTAACGGTTTCCTCAAAACATGTTTTCTGCACCAAATGAGCAAAACGCGGACAGCCCCTGTTTGTTTAACGTGACCAGAATGTACGTAGCCACTCCAGCGCCAAAACCGTTTCTCAAAATGCGCTTGTTTTCGTTTTGAACATGTACAGACGGGAACTGTTATCCTGCCCAGTTGGCAGATGACCTTATTTTTTTCGGGGGGGGCAGTGGCTTGCTCACCATACAAGAACAAATGGAGCAAGGTTTCGCCGATATTTTCCAGCGAAGGCGGCTTGGGAGTCGGTGGGATCTCCCTGCCGCGGCGGCGAACAGGTCATGGGCTTAAGGTATTTGTTGTTTAAAGAATAAGGACACCAGCCCTATACTGAAGCCAGGACCTAGTATGACCTAGTAAATTCTTGAGTGTTTCCTTTCGCCTCACAGGGTGTGCAGTCCCAGAATGTGAAGTATTGAAGTGAAGAAGGTAGATGGCCATCCAGGGTAAGACACTCTGTAGACGTGCCTCTTTTTGAGCAGTATTCTTCATGTGCTTGCCAATACTGGTGGCTTCTTTAACTTTGAGAAACTGACGAAGCCTGGCCAAGTGGAGTTGCACCTGAAGAACAGTAAGAGCGATGGCCTCCAACCTAGGCATTTAGTTTGCGCATGGAAGAGTGAGGTTTCGACTTCCAATGTGAGTTGCTGTGAGATGTAGAGGAAACCAAACCACGATGAAACACACCTGTGAGCAGATCGGCTTTTCGGATCCATGAAACACACCGCACGATGTCACAATCTCCGGCCATCGCGGCCATCGCCGCTTCGCCCTCCTGGCCATCGCTTCGCCCTCCCGAGCAGGTTCAAAGGCCTGCAACATGGGGAGGGAGGCAACTTGCCACACGGCCGCAGTGACTCCCGGTGAGGACTCCCGGTGGTGCCGTGCTCGCCGGACGGCCGGACTAGGCGCGGCTCAGCCGCGAGCCGCTCTGAATTCTACGGACGGAGCAACCAAATGTGGACGGTTGACCTATTGGGATTTAAAATAATTCTTGAGACATAGGGGGTCTTATTCATCAACAGCCAACAGCCAACAAGCTTCCTCGGTCGAACTCTTGTCTTTCAGATGGTTGCCAGTTGTTGCTCCAACTTGTGGAAGTCTCTTCCACCATTCGCAGTGACCTCGTTTGGTGGGGTGTCCATGCAGTGGAAACAACGAAAGCACTGACGTCAAGGCATGCGTTTAGCACTGCGGAAGTCATGCAGAACTCATGTGGGCTTTGTTCTACAAGTTGGTTCAAGAGAGATGACATCCCCCCTAGGAATCAAACCCTTCCCAGACGGTCCAGGTACTGAGGATGGGTAGCGGACCCAAAGCTCTTAATGGATGCTCATTTTTTCTTAAGTTCTTGCCACACACTGTCACCGGGAATTGTTCAGAGTTCTGCCCGGTACTTCAGATCCATCAAAAAACAGAAACCTGAAAGCAGGGTCCATCTTCAAAGAGCTTTGGGTTCAACATCCTTCGACATCCATATATTTGGGTCCTTTCAACATCCCGATATAACCACCACCTTAAGGACCCACCACCATAACCCAGTCTTGGAGCAACCTTTGCCCGAAATGAGGATGCTCCCGACATCCTTCGACATTTGCCAAGCCACGAAGCAGGCGCGGCACTCGCGCAACTCGCGCAGAGCTCGGCGGTGTTGGGGCCGAGCACGAACGGAATGGGCCCCTGCAGATGATCGGCCCGCTCCAGCGACTATGTGAGGTTCGGTGCTTGGGGTGGGTGTTAAAATTAGAGGGGAAGCCGTCCAGGAATGTGCTCCGGGAGCTGTACATGCAAAGATCATCAAAGATCATCAAGGATCATCAAAGATCATGTTAAAGGTGTTTCAGGGTTTTTCATGCCGGCACAGGCAGACGACAAGTCTGGAAGGGGTTTTCAGTTTCTACTGCACTCCTCGACTCGTCTCCAGGTTTTTCAGGAAGGGGATGGTTCTTGGACGTCCTGAGTGGAGGTACCAGGAGCACCCCATTCTCTCCGATAGGCCGACCGATCCTACGAACTAGTACAAAGGTGTTGGGGGACTGTGTCACTTGGAGGGTGCAATGACCCTTCAGAGGATCATCCTGCGACAGCTTGAGGTGCTTGACAGCTTGATGTTCCACCAGCCATGGTTCTACATTTGGCTCAGATAAAATGGCTAAGACTATGGAAAACGAGCAAGAATGAGCATCGGGCCACCACTTCTGAACAGGAAGGAACAAGAAGCATAGGCCTCAAGCCGCTGCGAAAGCCGGTTGCAAGGATGCCGTGTGGATGGTCAACGGTCAATGGGGGTTGCAACATGTGTGAACAATGTCTACTCTCCCTGCAACAAACATGGAACTGGACAACCCCTGTTTGTACTTGTAGGATCTTGTAGGTATACGTTGATTAAATTTGTCTTTTCAGGGGAGAATGTCCGCTTCCATGATTTTCGCAGGGGGAAATCAATCTCCAATCTCCTTTTCCTTGGATCCAAAAAGACCTCCCGCATGGCTTCGGCTTCACCACGAGTCGTCACGAGTCGCTGGTTTCGTCTGAAAGAGTCACGTCACGAGTGAAGAGTCGAAAGATGAGGTTGATGGTAGCCACCGGGATCCGTTTTCGTACCGAACCTCAGCTTCGGTACGGGACCCGACGTTTTGGCACCTACATAACAGTGTCGAACACATCACCTTCTGAGAAGGTGCTTGGATCCCTAGGGCAAGTTAAATAATTATTTGCTTGTACAAAGTTCAATTGTCACGCTCCCTGTTGGTCTTGGACCATTGGACACTGTATTCTAATCGAACTAGTGGCCAAACATCCCCAAAAGGTCGTGTCCAACAGTTTGGTCCAGCCTGCTATAACAAGCCTGGCGCCGTCTTTCTTCTCCTTGCTTTCCAGTGGGTGCAGAGACTTCCTCGTGTCCCCCTCTAATAGGATCTGTAGCAGCGACTTCTTCGTGTCGGACCCTCACAGTCGTCTCCAGCTTTCCTCGGAAGCTAGGACATCCTGCAGCTTCTGGGCACCTATCGTCGCCTGACACTCTCGGAGGGGCCTGGCTTCTGGAGCTTTGTTCAGAGGGTTTCAGGTCAATTAAACAGTTGAACTTGGGGTGGCGGTGGTACTTGTATTAAGCATTCCCAAGCAAGTACACAGAGACACACACTCACACACACACACACACACCTGTAAAGGCCGGTGCAGATTAACCGTGCTTGTACTTTTGAGCTACCAACATACGTGTAGAACTTCAAACGAGGGAGTTGTCCCGATTGGGAGTCAAACAAGAGAATTGTCCCAACATCATTGTAACACTTCCTTGTGACATAGGGAGTTTTCCCATTTCAAATACTTCCTATCGATTCGATGGAGGGACCGGAGAAACCAACGATTTGCCACGATGGGTCGTCCTTCCGGCAGTCGTTTTATCATATGATCCGTTTGAATCGGGTGAACCGCCCCTGGGCCCCTGACCGGATCTTCGCAAACCAAACAGTTCTGTTGGTTTGTTTGGATTCCTTTGGATCAAAAACCCTCTAAGATCCGAAAAGACAAAGACATCAGTGCTGAACCCTCGGAACTGGCACAGGCGGCACAGCTGGGGACGAACCCTCTCCCCGTCTCCCGCTCCGGTCCCTTCCGCGGCACCGAGGTGATGATCCCATCCGCATCGTTACGCGGCACCGGTGGAGGAACAGGTGGAGGAACAGAGAGTCGTAGGGGTTCATCTCAACCTGGATTCATGGTGGATTCATGGTGCTGGTTACCCCCACTGGAGTAGTGACATTGGAGTTTTATTATATGGGCCTCCATTTGTCGACAGACATGTCGGTTTGGTCATTTTAAATGACTTTGAAACCACTGGACCCAGACGTACCCGAAGCATCCATGGGACTGGCAGATTGACCGTAATTATGCCCAGTCCCATGTTTGCATGTTTGATGGACCCCCCTGATCCATTTGACTCCAACCACCCCCAACCTGCCTGGTGCTGGTCGGCGACCCGGGGCGACCTTCACGGCCCCACGGGACCCACAAGTCTCTGGAATCCGATGGGTTCGGTTGGTTCGAGTGGAGGGACGTTGGATCCGTTCCGAAGACCGACCAAAAAGGTGTTCTTCCCTCCCCCAGACACGACCCATGGGACTGCCATAGGACTGCCGATCAGGCCAGGGGTGGTTGACTGGGGGGTCTGTCTGGGGCGGCAGTCCTATGGCAGTCCCGTGGAGTGTTGTTCCCTCCGCTTCCATGTTCCACGGCGAGTTCAGTGTATGTGGTGATGTTCTTCCCCCCCGTGGACACATGGACGGGTGGAGCCCGTTGAGACTCATGGGTCTGGGGTGCTCGATGTTAGACACTCACGAACAACACTCACACGGAAGCGGAACATGAGACCAAGTTTTCCAAGGGACCATTTTCATCCATTTTCCATTTCCATGTCAGTGAGCCAGAGTGTCAACTTCTTTCAGCATCCGGAGCTGGAAGCAAGTCTCCGAAGTCTGACTGGTGAGACGACTGTCTGGACTGACTGGTCCAAGTTCTGCGGGACTGTGCGGATTTGGTGGCGGACCTAGGACCTAGGATTCTTAGGTCTGTCTGTCTGTCTGTTTGTCTGTCTCACAGTTTGGCAACCAGCTGTTTGACCCGTTCCGGCACTTCTCGATGTGGAGATTTCTGGTGAGACATCTCGAACAACCGTCCAGAAATCTCCGGATATGAACATTATGTTGTGTTTGTTGCACTGAACCGTCCACAGCTGCGGACTGGACAGAGTCGGTAGAAAGTCAGCTCAACAGCAACTACGAAGGGACACACGCCAGGCTTAGCATGTCCTACAAGCCTTAAAGAGTCTGCGTTTGGTATAATGACCCCCCTTGATTCTGAACTTGTGCTATCCATTTGTACCATGTTGTTTCTAACATAAGGTGTAGGGCCCATATACCCCTTAACACCGGTCTATAACGTGTTGTAGGATGTTACAATGTTTGTTGGGAACAGAATGTTGGGGTCAACCCAAAAACCAAAAGGTTCAAGAGGATGGTCCTGCAAACACGCCCAGCTCTTGCTTCGTTGTCTATCGTTGAGGCCCGAGCGTGGGAGCAAAAAAAGCAATCCCTTGCCAAAGGCCAGGCGGTCAGGACGGGCCAATCTTGAGAAGGCCTGATTCGGGCCCAACTAAGAACTCGCGTTTGAAGGGCAACCCTGACGTTTGGGTAAGGCATTTTGATGCAAAAAGTCTTATAAAGGATTGTATAGGAAACATGTAGATAGGAGTTGTGAGCTGCAAAGCACGCGGAAACATACCATAAAGCATACCTTTGAATTTCATCAGAGTTGCCACGAACTGCGCCCCATGAACTTGCGTCCGAAGGCAAGGCCATCGCTGAAGAGCTTGCAGAACTGTGGAGTGCCATGGGCCTTACAGGATGGGACGGTGGAAACATTGGGGTTGTGGGCCAAGAGCCCTTGCTTGGTCTGAAGTCTATTAATGACTCTTAGGTCGACTCTTGATGGATCAAACATCATAAATCCCCTTACGGTAATGACCTGGATGGTCAAAGATTTGCATGTGGTAGGTTTTATTCATCAACAGATCAACATTGGCGGTTTGGGCCAGGCTGACATTAGCTGGGCCAGGCTGTTTTGACATCAGCTGCTTTGTTCCAGTGGGTCGCAGATATTGCAGCTGTCCAGAAGGCCATCACTTTCTGTTTTGTTTAGTCCATTTGGTCCATGCAACACCTCGCCATGAGCGAACTTTGTCCTAGAAACGATATGTTGTCTTCCACTGTGCTTGGAACTTCCACAACGTTCCTTGCTCCTCTAAGGGGTTTCGGACGGGGGGATCAATTGTCACGTTGTGGTCCTTCAGGAGAACCCAGAGCGATATGCTGCCTTCTGGGGTCTTCCTGAGTAGAGTCAGCAGAGTCATCAGATGGTGATTGGAATCGATTCATATGTCAAAACACATGGCTGGAGCTCGGAGAACAAAGGGCGGCGACGGGTTTCGGGGACGGGTTGGCCTTGGCGGAGGTGGTCCGAACTCCTTCGCTCTATCTTCCAGGAGTTGACTAAACCCTCAACCCAGGAGCTCAGAGGATCACCTTTAAGAGCTGGTGGGGGCTTAGTAACACCCCACGTTAACCATGGTTAACCATGGTTAACCTGTATTTTGCCAGCAAAACTCAGGGAGTCAGTAATGAGAGTTGCAGCTTGGGGTGGGATGTTGTTCCCAAATCAGTCGAGAGGGGGGGCCGCCCACGTTGAACACACGTGGGTTTCTGCGGCAGATGTGCACTTCGTCTGAACAATGGGAGCTGAGGAACTATGGTTGTCCCTGGAACTAGCATTGGAAGTGGATGGCCCCTTTCAGGATGACCATGAAATCCCAAGACTAAGTCCAGGGCTTTTCACCTCCACTTCCATGTGACGTTTCATGTGACGTTTCAGGGAGTGGCGTGCTGTGTGTGTCTTCTCTTCTTAAGCAGGAAGCACCGCAGGAGGCATCAGCAGGCCCGAAGCGGTTCGGAATGTAGAATAAGTTGTGGTATCCCCACAACAAAGGTTGGATAGTCACTCCCCTGTTCATTTGGGTGAGCTGTTTGGTGGTTCCGGGGGTGGTCCTTTGAAGAGTATAGTCACAGTCTGCAGCACTGCATCTGGGGCTGTCGAGACGAATTTATTGCAGAGGAGTGACAGAGTAGAGCCCCTGCATGTGAAAAACTGCTTCTTAGGGGTTTGGTCACTTTTGCGGGGGAGCGCGGAGCGCCTACCCTTCTCTCAAGAGATATCTATAGATATCACTGGAACCAAGACAAACTTGATACGACCCGCTTGCGTGTTGCGTTTGATGCAGCTCGCAGGGTCGGCCAATACACCTGCTGTTTCGGCACGGCTCGCCTCATCACACCTAGAAAGAACGTGCTATCATTTCGTCACTCGTCAAATCGCCTCTTGAGATGAAACCTTGATAATTTGTGCACATCCAAGTTCATACCAGAAATGAAATGTCATGACATCATCACATCATACCACTATATATTTATGATCATAATGATACTGTAGCTGTATTGGTTTCTAATGTTAACAGGCGGAGAGCTGCATGACCGATCTCCTGGCAGTCGGGGACTCTCTCAAAGTGATACGATCGCCATGGCCACGCGCGATCCGCGCCACCCACGGGAGGACAGTCAGTTGGTGTCGTTCACGCCGCGTCACGCTGAGTCAATTGTTTGGCACTACTACCCACACCACCCTGGTATACGTTTGGTACAGATGAGCTTTCTGAGAATTTAATCTTGTTTTGAGCAAAAAGCAGAATTGATTCAGTTGAGTCAGTTTGTTTCTGTCAGACTCACTGTGGTCGATGGACAACGACCTTCCGTACTGGAGAAACTCAGGGAAAGAGTAAGGTACACACCCTATAAACCCAGAGTTCGGTACACACCCTATCACCCTATAAACCCAGTCAAATAATTCGGAAATTCCGGTGCTTTGCCTCACCCAGAGTGATGTTTTTGTAGAGGTCCTGGACCGGTCAGTCGCCGGGCGTTTGGGCCAGTTCGCCGGTCAGGGTTGATTGACCGTTTGGGCCATGTTGGGGTGGCATCCATTCGTGCTGTCCCATTCGTCGTGTTTGGGCATCTTTGGCTACCCCAGAAACCCAGATTCATTCGAGGTACCTTGGGCAACTCGACTCCAAAACGCCTACTGTATCCCAACTCATGGTGGGTTTTGGTCGTACGAGCACCATCAAGCCTCCCAAATCTGGAGGCTTCGTGTCGGTCATCTTGGTGTCCGCGGTGCCTTTCCGGATTGGCACCTCGTGGAGAGCACTCATGTCTTTTCTTCGCCCCATCAAGCAATCAACACCAATGGCCAATGGACCTAAGATCTGCCAATCTACCCCTGGGGCTCCTGTCCCAGATCCTCAGGTTCGGTGGTTGGGGTGGGTGCCAGGGGGGGGGGTCTAACTATATATACCTTGTGAGGATGTGGGCCAGGAGCCCTCTAGGGTACACACTCCCTGAGAGAATCCGTCGCTGCGGGCAGTGAGTGATACATCGTGAGGATGTTCTCCGAACGAACGGGGAAAGTATGCCATCCACGTTGGCCCATGATTCTTCTAGGGAGTGTAGTAGTGTAGTGCTTCCAGTTTGGGGTGTCCAATTGGAGACTTGAGTCACCAAGTGGTGGAGAGCAGCTGGGAACGGCGATACCGAACATCAGCAGCTGGTACCAGGAATCAGGAACGTGTCTCCGCGTCCTTTAAAACATTAATATTTATAACATACTTCCTTTTCAACTCAACTCTCACAATTGAAACTGCGCGAAGACCTCCAGGCGGAGTCAGCTCTGCAGGTTCCGAGGCGATTTCACTTTCTTTTGTCGTTGTGACTCGACGTCCGATCGCTTCGGAGCCCGATGTTTTGGAGGCGTCGACGTATGGCGGACTTATGGAGATGCTCTTGGTTGGCTTCTGTATACCCTGGAAGTCAAAGACCATGTTAAAAAATGGTGGCTTTCGCTTTGTGGTGTAAAACCCTTAGTAAAACGATGGTTGTTCCACTTCCAGGGTATACAGTTTGTTGTTTTGGGATCGAGCGAAGATTCCAAAGAGCCATGTCGTTGTGGAGATGTGGAACGTTGTTTCGTTGTTTTAGGCCAAGAAGTTAGACTATTCACTGTGTACATCATTGTACATATTATTGATGCAGCAGATATTATTGTCGCAGATGATTGCATATATGTAGGATTTCATAGGATACTCAGTTTCAATGTTTCAGGCTTCACTCTACTAGGAGATACTAGGAGTATATAGTTGAACATAGGGTCAAATAGAATCAACTAGTCATTAATAACCCAACAACAACAGCGCAAAGACCTGGTTTTACTGGAGTTGGTCCTACAAAAAAACACTACTCAATCAGGTGCAGCACCAGTTTTTACTGGGTCTTTGGACTTAAAGGGTATGGTTTTCCATATAGTGTATATACAAATATTAATATATATGACGGTATAAAATATGAACGCAGACATCTCGCACACACTCATGATCCCGTGCAACTCGTGCAAACTCGTTCACCTGTCACGCCTTTATACACACGCCTCCAACATGTGTCGACTCAGGTTGATCCAAAGTGAAACCCCACACCACCTAAGCATTCCTTCCCCTCCCAAGCCCTTCCTTTCGCCCCCGGGCCTCGCCTTCGCCACGCTTCTTCGCCACGCGTTCGCGTTCGCGGCGCGAGGCCTCCGGGCAATGGGGCGCGACCTCCCGTGCAAAGGCCCACACCACACCTGCAGGCGACCGAAGGAGGGTTTGTGGAGTTGATATGCAGGTGACAGGCTGTTGTTTTTTTTTGGGGAGCAAAGTTAGTTCATACTTGGATGGTTTGAAAACAGCCGTCCATGGTTGGTAATGTCACTTCTTTCTACGTACTAAAGGGCAAAAACACGGTTTTATCAGTGTTTGAAGAGGTTTCTGCCGAAGCAAAAGCCAAGTGATCAAGGACGATGTTCTGCGTGGACGTATTGTTTTTGAACCCCAAAACAACATAAAATCCAAAAGAAGTGCATCACATGTTTAGCTCAGGTTTGGGTCCTGCACCATACGTAGGAGTGCGAAGAGAGGGCATGAAAATGTGGGTAAGAAAGGGGAACCGGCCTTTTTAAAGCAATCATGCAGTCAATATCCAAACCACAGCCGAAGATGTTTTAGTTTAATAAGGAAATTGGTCAAACTGCAGCTATGGTTTTGAGGATTCAGTTTTGACCCACACCATGAATATCATGATTGGTGAGATAGATACAGGTCAGTTTGAAAAGCGCGTGGTTTGCCTGGTTTGGCGCTCAACAAAGCAAGTTGAGGTGACACTTTTCAGGGGCCCGGACTGGCACCGGTACTCTCCTGCCTTATCCGGGGCATTGCATTGCCCGTCTTTTGTTGAAAACGCTTCTTCGAAGGTTCCGTGAACATACTTTGTACCATTACCATCCAAGAGGTGTCGTACTTAGCCTCTTAGAGGTGATTTGCGGTGTCCAAAAAAAAACACGTTGGAAGGTTCTGGCAGAGCTTCAACCGCATTGAAAGATGGTAGTTAGACAACCTGGAACCGACCCCAACCACCGAACCTAAATGGAGGAGGCCTGGAACCTTATGGGCCTATGGGAATAGATCAACAAATTTTCAAGGATCCAAGAGATGCGCCTTGAATCCCGACCAGGCTATTGTTCTTTGAAGCATATTTGGATCCACAGGTTGTGCCCCCCTTCTTCCAAAACCCCAAAGAGTTTGTTCCTTGCAAAACAGCACCAGCTCAGGGACTAACAAAAGAGTGTTGCATTATGTTTTGAACGAACGACGCTCAGTCGTCCTTTGTTTGTCCCAATGCCACCGCGTTCCGTGCGTTCTTCGCAGCGAAGCACGCAGGGCTTGCAAGAGATCAGCCTGAGGCCCGACTCGGTGGTATGGTCGAAGTTGTTCGACTTTGGGTTGCATGGAATTAACTCCCCAAAAATAGTTTCCTGATATAGATTCCACAGTAGATTCCATAGATCGAGAGCATTTTCTTGAACATGAATGAAAAGAACATGCCCTATGACATCATTGATTCACTGTTTGTTCATTCATCAAAACCATTACTGTAGTGGATATTAGTAGGGGGTAAGGGTTCCCACAATGTCCCATCATAGTGCTCATGCACCATGGCCCCAAGTATGACCATCTTATGAGTCTGGGGATATCCATGAGTGGTGCGTCCTGTTTTACTATTTTAGCTTTTGGGCTGAACGGTCAAGACCCTCCAGCTTTGTTATACCCTTGAAACACCTAGCAGCTGACCTAGCATTCCGGATTCTGATTCAATCCACTCTAGACGTGTTCTCCGAGTACAGGAATGATGGGCTTGGGGAAAGGAGGCTTCTTGTAGTTCATGAACAAACACCTTGGTATTCAGGCAACAATTGAAAAGAATGGATTTACTC